CACATGACACATGTAATGTCTGTTGAATTAAAAATTAGAGAGCTCATTGTTCAAAAAAAATAGACAAAGCTTTACTTTGGTGTAATAATGACCTCAAATGTATCTTGTAAAAATTTAATGTTTTCACTCTGATAAAGTATATTATTATTATTATTTCTTTAATTTTTATTTATTTATTTTTTTGCTGTACGCGGGCCTCTCACTGTTGTGGCCTCTCCCGTTGCAGAGCACAGGCTCTGGACGCACAGGCTCAGCGGCCATGGCTCACGGGCCCAGCCGCTCCGCGGCACGTGGGATCTTCCCGGACCGGGGCACAAACCCATGTCCCCTGCATCGGCAGGCGGACTCTCAACCACTGCGCCACCAGGGAAGCCCAAGAATATATATTATTAAATTATTCTTTCATAACTTTAAGTCTGTAAATTTAAACCTTATCCCTTTGGTGATACTATATCAACCATCATGAAATTAATAAAACTGATGTAATCATACAGTACACTCCTTTCCGCAATGTTTTCTATGTTTCAGGTCTTAAAAGCATTATCTCTCTTTATTGCCTTTGAGGAAAAAATATTTTATTGACTTATCTGAGAGGAGAGAGGTGAAGCTGCTGAGACTGCCAACAACACGAAGCACCCAGGTTCTCACATCCTTATAAAATAACTGAATAGATAATGTAAATCTATAGAAACGGCACATTGATCTGTATCTGCTTCTTCACATACCTTGTTTTCTTGACCTGGATGCTGCTGCTGAGCTTTTCCAGCACATATTCTCCAGTGTCGTGATTGATAATAAGCACACAGTCCTTCTGGTAAGGCCGCTTGTTCCCCTTGAACACAGTCATCGGTGGTGTGGATCCCTACACGCCACAAAAGTACAATTCAGACAATCAAACCAAACACACCAGTTATGCACATCAAAACTGAATTTACAGGTGGCTTTACCTCATCACATCTTTTATCAGAGCTACTCAAAAAGGAACAGAATGAACCGATTTGTATTTTAACTCCTGCTGGCTTCCCAAGCAAAAATAAAGAGGAAATAACAATACAGCAAGAATCTGTGACTGTGCAACTGGCTCTAAGTAATCAAGAAATAAATATAAAATTTTTAAATTACTGTACATTTTTCCAGGGATTTGGGAAATGTTACAAATAATGGTAAAATGTGAACTGAGAAACATAAATTACGCATTACGTGTCTGACACTGAGAAGAGCTCTCACTATAAGTAGTAAAGCTAGTGAGTGACCTCCGTACTTCCTTGTAATAGGAGAGTCCAGGCTTCCCCCCATGCCAAGTAACCACAGAGCATTCTCCAACGGCAGCTCGTTATTCTGGCTGGTTCACAGTAAGTACATCATTCCATTCACCCGCTTAAGCCCTTGAATCACTACCCATCACTCTAAGGCCAAAGAAGAAAATCTTTAAACGAGCCACCTGGCCCTTCCACCTTGCCCGGCTCCACTCGCCGCAGGCTCTGCAGGCTCCAGAGCAGAAGGAGCTGGCCTTCTCTCAGACCCAAGCTCTTTCTTGCAGGGATTTAACAGGGCTTCTGCCTGCAACATCCCACCCTCTCCTTCCCTTTTAATTATTCAACATTCAAATCTGCTCAAAGGTCACTTCCTCAGGGAAGCCTTCCCAGATTTTCCAAAATAAGTGCTACACTTTCTTATATTTATTTAAACTCGCTAAGGGCAAGAAACGTGCTTGTTTTGTTCAAGACTGTATTCTCAGTACCTAGTAGTGAGCCAGCATCCAGTAGGTGGTCATTAATTTTTGCCAAATATAGCGTTTAATCCTCTGTATGGAATCAGAAACTGCTTGGCTGCTTGACTCCTTATTCATACAGTAAAAATTAAGAGTTGGAAGAGACCTTAGGGACCATTGATGTAACCTCTTCATTTTACATTTGGGAAACTAAGGTCCACAGGGAGATGATGTAACTTGCCAAAGGCAACAAGTAATGAGATAGCAGTTTGAACTAGCAGACAATAAGTTTTCCCCAGCACAAAGCTTCCCAGGTCTCCCTGTCCAGAGCCTTTTCATTCTATCACTGGTTACCGAGAACTGATGTTCCAGGACAGGGCTGGGACATGCACTGACCCGTGGTCATTAAGAGTATTCTGTCTGATCCTTTGGGCTTTGTCATCAGAGCGCCGCCTTGGGCAAGGCTTCTCCATTCAGCTTTTAACCGGGTTCCTCAGCCCTAAATGGGCTGAAGGCTCTACACCTCTGGTTTCTGGCTGAAACCACCAGCCTGCACATCACCCCTTGCCAGACTCACGACCCGTGTCGACCCTGCTCCTGCCCTCTGCACTCCTAAGCTGCTGCTTTACATCCGTAGGGCACCTGGGCCTTTCTCTCTGTAGCTGCTGGGGGGAAGCTACGTGTGTCTAAGGGAGGGGCCAGGTGTCCACACAGGAACCTTGTCTACTTTGGGACAAATGGGGGAAAAGGGAGCTTGGGGAAAATGACAAAGAATTATTTTTACTCAAGTACCTGGGAAGCATGAATTCTACCCTGCCCTACCCCCAAAATTCCTTTTTCCCTTATACTGGCACTTCAGAAATCTGGAAATATTTAAATAGGAGGAAAATCAAATTGCAATAACATAGAATATGAGGATTCACTGTGATTCCACATTAAAAAAAACAACAGTGGGATAAAACCTACAGGGATATGCGGCAGCGTAATTGTGACTTCATCTCCTTTGCCGACCTGAAGCTCTCCTTCACAGGAAGTATCTATAGATGCCGGCTTAAAGTCATCTAAAGGGAAAGGAAAAAAGCATTTTATCCACCAGGTTACTTTTGCTAAGGGTTTGCAGGGCATTCCCATGTAAGAACTGAAATTTTTTATAACTCAAATAAATGGAAAATACCCACCATTTAGAATTTTTCAGAAAGCTATTTCATTGTGGACAGCTTCTCATATACAACAGCAGACAGAATAATACCATGAGCTGTGTGTACCATCGCTCAGCTTCAATAATTACCAGCTCTGGGACAATCTTGTCTCATCTATACCTCCACATACTTTTCTTCTCATTCCCAGTGGATTATTTTGAAGAAAAAAGGCTAGAATTTACACAACATTTTATTAAGCAAAGATATCCCCTTCTGCCAAGTGACAGATGAAAAATTAATGTTTTATTATCCACAATGAGGTGTTTTACTAGGGTTATTATAAGGATCAAAAGGAACAGAGCATATTTTTAAAATCCTGTGACTATAAAACCCAATATGAAAGGCCATAGCTCAATATAAGCTGATTTCATTTTGATAGGAACTGGCAAAGTTAGGATCTGCCACACTCCAGTTCCATAGCTTTAACAAGGATTATGCCTGTAGATGTTTGGAGCAGAAGGCTGAACTGTATTTCCAAAGGTTAATCCTGCCCATGTTTCTGAATTGCAGTTAAAGCACAGCATGAACAGCCACCTTACTCCCTTTTAACACAAACCTGCCTCAAACGGCAGGCCAGGTGCTTCTGTGAAGTGTCTTATTTACATTCCACATTGCCCTTCACTCTGCTAAAACATCAAATCAGTAAACTGCTCAGGAAATGACGCTCTTATCATATTCCCAATACCCTTCCTCTGAAAGGGCTGACCTGTTGTCAGTAGGAAGAAGAGTAATGGCCTGGCAAGTGACCACAGGAAAATAGAACTGCATTTATCTAACACACCCTCTTCCAAGGTGTTGAGTCACGTGTAGGAGGAGCTCCTCTGACAAAAACAAGTCTTAACCAGCATTGGGGCTACCAGGAAGGGAAACCAGGAGCCTGTGAATCACAGCGGTATGCTCAGTCAGCCAATTCCTCACCCAGGACACAGAGTGGAAGGGCCCTCTCTCAATAGGGCCTGTAATCATGGAGAAAAAGGAGGTCCAGCATAATGACTATCTCCACATTCCTTAGGCCTGCTCGCTCCTGTTTCCAAACATAGATCAAGCGCTAACTTATTCCTGGCTCTCAAATCCTAATTTTATTCTTCACCCACAAGGGACTTGGTCCCGAGGAAAAGCTGGGGTAGTCCAGGTGACCTCAAAAGACATCAAAATCACACGAAAAGCTAGCATGGAGACATTGAGGAGGGAGACTGATGAGGCACAGAGAGGATGTGGATTCTGGGGCTGCAAAGGGGATGAAGCACTGCGTCAGGGAGGGCAGAACCAAAACGGACGAGGGAAGAAAAGTGAGGAAAACAGGGAAGAAGAGAATGGAATAGGAGGGAGTGGACGCGGATCCCGAGAAAATAACAAGCGTTTCCTTGAAGCGTGGAGACCCCCAGTGGGGTCATGGCGGAAAGGCGGCCACAGAGAAGAGCTGGAGCCTGATGTGGTGTCGCAGCCTTTCAGAAATAAGAGGGGGAGCGTCAGTGCGCAGGAGGGCTGGACGCGGCAGGAAAAGGGGCCAATGGTCTTCGGAATAAGAGTTCGGTACCACGAGGCAGAGAAATAGTGTGGGAAGGTAGTAAAGTCCTGGTTTGGGAGTGAGCTGGGAAAAACCCGAGGTTCCGGCGGATCCGGGCTGAGAGGAAGGGAGTTGACGCTGGCAGGGCTCCCTGGACACCGGACGGGCTAAGGGCGGCCAGGAGCGACCGTGGGGTCGCGGACTCACAGCGGATGGTGTGGAAAGAGGTCCGCGGCCGCTTCTCGAAGCTCTCCCCGAGCCGCAGGCAGTGCTCCTCGCGGTCCAGCAGCGGGTTGGCCGTCCCGTTCATGGCCCCTCCGGACCTCGCGCCCGCACCGGTGCCCTCCTGGCGCGCCCGCGGCCCGAGCTGCCGGTACCGGTGTCCGGGGCAGCCGCGCTCCCGGGACAGCGCTCCGGGTCGCGCGGGGAACAGAGCCGGAACCCACCCGTGGCCGGAAGCAAATCCTGGCCTCCGCGTCCGGAAGGTGGGCGACTCTGAGGAAGCGGGGCCCCGGAACTTCCGGCGCCGAGGAGGGACTTCTGGGTCCGGAGCGGAAATGGCGGGGGCAGTGTCAGGGTAGAAGGACTCCGTCTGAGAAGCCCGATTCGAGGTCTTCAGGGGCGGTTTGTCCATTCGAAGGGTCATTCCGCTGTGGCTCCCAAATTTTGCTTCCGAGGCTGGTCTGGCTGAGGGCTCAGCGCGCCCGGCCCCACCCTCCAGGTGAACCTAGGAACTGATGACGGGGCCCCAGCGCGCGAGGGACTAGGTTCACGCCGTCCTCTCAGGCCCTCGCGGCCGGGCGGCCTGGGTTATCCCGAGTATCCTGGGCACCCCACGCCACGCGTCTCTGAGTATCTTCCTCCCCTTCGCGTGCCGACGGCGACGCGAGGGCCTTAGTCCCTGGGAAGTGACGCCCCCTCTGGTTCGTAAGACTCAGAGTCTCAGGCCACCCGGGCTTAGCTCTGTTTTCCCCGAAAAACACTGAGTCTCCGGTCCTTGGAAACGGTGACTCTCCTTACAGTTCTGTGCGTGAGAGCCCTGGCCGCTGAATGTCAGCCCTCTGAAGGCAGCGGCAGTGTCTTGGTCTTTGTGACGTATTCAATAGCGGAGCAGGGATTTGTGTAAGGTCAGCACCTAGTAAACGTTTGCTGAGTTGAACTGTTAGGTGAAAGAACTGTTGTAGGACCACTAACTCAGCATCTTTAAAAAACTGTTCTAGAACCCCCCAACCGGAGTCTCATTCTTTTTCCTGCGAAACACCCGATGCTGCCTGAGGCTTGGACCCAACCTGAGGGACCACACCTGAGAAAATCCTGCCTGTGTCTGCAGTATCCGCTTGAATTCCTCAGGTTGTTCAGGAATGGAGAATCTCCAGCAGTGTTAAATATATTACCATCAACTTAGGAGATGGCTGCTTTGCAAAGGAAAGGGCTTCAGGCGAGGATTCTCAGCTCTGAAGAAGAGGAGAAACTGACAAGAGACCAAGCTTTAGTGTCTAATTATAAACAGCAAAAACTGGAAAAAGAGGCTCAGAAGAACTGGGACCTTTTTTACAAAAGAAATAGCACTAATTTCTTCAAAGATAGACACTGGACCACCAGAGAGTTTGAGGAGCTCAGATCATGTAGAGAGGTAAACTAATATTACACCTTATTTGAGCTGTTCTTCATTTAGAATGTGTAGAAGAGGGTGTGCTTTATTGCCTTCCCAGGGGGAGTGTGAGATAATTTATGAAACCTCTCAGAGGCTTCATAAATTTTTGTACCTTAGATATACACTGTTTGTCTCAAGTAGTTTTAGCAGTCGCTGAGTTGTATAATACAGAGGAGAAAAGACGCTGTAACTGCAGTCCTGTTGTCTAACAAAGGCCAGTCACAGAATTTTGAAATCAGTGACTGGTGGGGCTTTCAACCATTTCACACCGACATATCAGGCCATCAGCATCATGCTTCTGTATTATGGCAAGAGAAGGAAAAGTAGATAAATGTATGCTTTTTTTGTAAGTTTAAAAAAAAGGGGGCATTTTCTGTTTTTTAAAGCTAATCTGAAAGTTGTAAATATTGAATTCATGATGAATGATTTCAATGGCAGGTTCATAATAATAATAATGATGAACACTTTATCATGCCCGTTTTCTAGAACTTTACATGTGTTCTGTAACTTAAGCCTTATAATAACATGGTGAAGTTTGGCGTTAGTATTATCCCCACTTGCTGATGAAATTGAGGCACAAAGCTGTTTAAGTGATTTGTTCAGTGATAGAACCCGGGGCGAGGGGAGGAGTCCAGATTTGAGTGCACGCGGTTTAACCTCAGAGCCTATTCTGTTAACCATTATGCTTTGTTTTCTCCACACCAAACTCCCAATGTTGGACGAGGTATCAGTGGCTTTGGGTTATCAGTTCACTTAATTGTCTACTCCATGGGGGCAGAGACCTTGTCTCGTGTTCTGGACCTTTTAGTTTTTTCTTCATTGTGTAGATGTAGTGTACTGTAACTTTGGGTTCTCTTTCCTCAGTTTGAAGATCAAAAATTGACTATGCTTGAAGCTGGTTGTGGGGTTGGGAACTGTTTATTCCCGCTTTTAGAAGATCCGAATATCTTTGCCTATGCCTGTGATTTTTCTCCAAGAGCAGTTGAATATGTCAAGGTGGGTGCACCAGCTGTGTGTTTTGTTATATTTTCCTAGACTTGTTGGACCTGCCTTCTACACCCATTTGCCCAATTTCAGTCCTCTCCCTGAAGCTAACCAGCTATGATCCCTGTGAACCTAGTTTTCCTGTTTACATGCATGTATAATACATACAGAAACATAGCAGTATTCAGAAAAGTAGAAAGAAATACCAAACAACATCCTTATCCTTGTATCCAGATTTAATGATTGCCAGCATTTTGCTATTTTTGCTTTATAGACTTGCTGAACTGTTTTAAAGTAAGTTACAAATGTTGACACGCTTCACTCCTATATATGTATGCCTACATCTTAAAAAAAAATGAGGACTTTTTCTACATGACTACAATATATTTATCATGTCTGACAAAAATAACTGTAATTCCCTAATGTCATTAATACCCAGTCTGGATTCAGATTTCCCCCAATAGTCCCAGGTGTCTTTAATAGCTATATTTAATTAAGGACTACATCTTACACTTTATTATGTACCTTAGATCTCCTTAGCCTAAAACATTCCTGCCCTTCCCCTTGACCTTTTCCCCACTGACATTGAATTTTCGGAGAGCAAGCCATTTTCTATAATGAGGTCCCACATGCCAAATTGGGTCTGATGGTTTCTTTTAATCATTGTTTAACTTGTTTCTGTATTTCCTGTAAACTAGAAGTTAGATTTAAATCAGGTAAAATACTTTGGGCAAAAATACTTTAATAGCTGATGTTGTTTCTTTCATACTGCATCCTATCAGGAGGCAGTAGTGTAATCTCGCTGTAAGTGATGCTAGTTTTGATCGCTGGGTTAAGATAGTAACTACCTAATTCCTTTGTTGCACAGGTATTTTCTTTTTGTCACTAACAGATATGTGGGGGATACTTTGGCAACATGTAGATATGTAGTTTTCCACCAACCTTTCACAGTTTTAGCATCTATTAGACTTTTTAAATAGTGTCATCACATTGTACTAGAACCAGCTTTCTTCGCTCTATGTTATATCTTGTGGAGTTTTTCATCCTAGTACATGTAGGTCCACTGCATTTCATTTACCTGTTGTAGTATTCCATAGAACGGATATGCCATACTGTAACAATTGCCTTGTTGGTAATTGTTCGAATTGTTTCTAATTTTTTGCTCTTACAAGTAGGGTTAATGTGATCAAAATTGTACACATGCCCCAAAACACATGTGTACACTTATTTCTGTGGTGAATAATAGAATAGAATTCCTTGGAGAAAGGATACATGTTGAAATTTAAGTAGATAATGCCAGGCTTCCATCCAGAAAATTATACCAATTTATAATTTCACCAATAGTATAAAGATATTTTTTCCTCTATGTCCTTAACATTTGACATCAGTCTTCTTTATATCTTCCAATCTTATGGGCAAAAAGTACTGTCTCCAATTATTTATTTATTTATGTTTGGCTGTGTCACGTCTTAGTTGTGGCATGCGGGCTCTTCGTTGCAGTGAACAGGCTTCTCTGTAGTTGTGGTGCGCAGGCTCCAGAGCACGCAGGCTCAGTAGTTGCGGTGTGCGGGCTCTCTAGTTGTGGTGCTCGGGCGCGGTAGTTGTGGTGTGTGGGCTTAGTTGCCCCACGGCGTGTGGGATCTTAGTTCCCTGACCAGGGATCAAACCCACATCCCCTGCTTGATCTGTGACCCAGGATGTGATCTATCCTGGAGAATGTTCCATGTGCACTTGAGAAGAAAGTGTAATCTGCTGTTTTTGGATGGAATGTCCTATAAATATCAATTAAATCTATCTGGTCTGTTATGTCATTTAAAGCCTGTGTTTCCTTATTAGTTTTCTGTTTGGATGATCTGTCCATTGGTGTAAGTGAGGTGTTGAAGTCCCCCACTATTATTGTGTTACTGTCAATTTCCTCTTTTATAGCTGTTAGCAGTTGCCTTATGTATTGAGGTGCTCCTATGTTGGGTGCATATATATTTATAATTATATCTTCTTCTTGGATTGATCCCTTCATCGTTATGTAGTGTCCTTCCTTGTCTCTTGTAACATTCTTTATTTTAAAGTCTATTTTATCTGATATGAGTATTGCTACTCCAGCTTTCTTTTGATTTCCATTTGCATGGCATATCTTTTTCCATCCCCTCACTTTCAGTCTGTATGTGTCCCTAGGTCTCAAGTGGGTCTCTTGTAGACAGCGTATATATAGGTCTTGTTTTTGTATCCATTCAGCGAGCCTGTGTCTTTTGGTTGGAGCATTTAATCCATTCACGTTTAAGGTAATTAATTATCGGTATATATGTTCCTATTACCATTTTCTTAATTGTTATTGGTTTGTTTTTGTAGGTCTTTTTCTTCTCTTGTGTTTCCCACTTAGAGAAGTTCCTTTAGCATTTGTTGTAGAGCTGGTTTGGTGGTGCTGAATTCTCTTAGCTTTTGCTTGTTTGTAAAGCTTTTGATTTCTCCGTCAAATCTGAATGAGATCCTTGCTGGGTAGAGTAATCTTGGTTGTAGGTTCTTCTCTTTGATCACTTTAAATATATCATGCCACTCCCTTCTGGCTTGTAGAGTTACTGAGAAATCAGTTGTTAACCTTGTGGGAGTTCCCTTGTATGTTATTTGTCTTTTTTTCCCTTGTTGCTTTCAATACTTTTTCTTTGTCTTTAATTTTTGTCAATTTGATTACTGTGTGTCTCGGTGTGTTTCTCCTTGGGTTTATCCTGCCTGGGACTCTGCCCTTCCTGGATTTGGGTGGCTATTTCCTTTCTCATGTTAGGGAAGTTTTCGACTCTAATCTCTTCAAATATTTTCTGTCGATGATTGTTCAGCAGTTAGTTGTGATTCCGGTGCTCTTGCAAGAGGGAGTGAGTGCATGTCCTTCTACTCTGCCATCTTGAACCAATCTGATAATCTTTTCCTTTTAAGGTACGAAGGTTTTATGTCTTGTTTAGAAGTTCTGTAATCACATAGATATGCTTTTTTAAATTTTGGTTATGGTTTTTAATCAATCTGGAAAAAGTTTGGCCATATATCTTCAAGTATTTCTTCAGCTCTGTTTCCTCTTCTCTTTCTAGGATTCCAATTACTTGTATGTTATACCATTTGAATTGTCTCACAGCTCTTGGATGCTGGTTTTTTGTTTGTTTTTAACTTTTTTTCCCTTTCTTCAGTTTGTGTAATTTATTGTCCTATCATCAAGTTCATTGGTTCCTCTTTAGGCAGTAGGCATTCCTATTGATGAGTCTGTCAAAAGCATTTTTTTTTTTTTTTACATCTTTATTGGGTATAATTGCTTTACAATGGTGTGTTAGTTTCTGCTTTATAACAAAGTGAATCAGTTATACATATACATATGTTCCCATATCTCTTCCATTCTTCATTTCTGTAACTAAGTTTTTTGTTTTTAGCATTTCCAGTTGATTTGTTTTGTAGTTTCTATCTCTCTGTGAAATTACCTATCTGATCTTGCATGTTGTCTATCTTTTCCTTTAGAGCCTTTAATATGTTAATCACAGTTATTTTAAACGTCCAAACCTGTAGTTCCAACGTCTGTGTCATATTTGAGTCTGGTTCTCATGATTGATTGTCTCTTCAGACCATATTTTTTCTTGCCTTTTGGTACGCCTTGTTCTTTTTTGTTGAAAGCCGGGTATGTTATATAGGGCAGTGGATACTGAGGTAATAAGGATTTGTAATAATCTAGACAGGAGTTGGGCTCTATTTGAAGTCTCTTGTTGCTATAGTTACCTGTGAGGTTTGTTGTTGCTATCGGCCTCAGAGACTTCAAACTCCTCTGGTGACTTTGTTTTTGTTGCTCCTCTTGGCTTTGGGTCTTCCCTTTGTGCTGTTCACCATGAAGAGTCTGTCTCTTGCAGCTTTCCCAGCAATCCACTGTTGTTATTACTGGAGATTTGTTGGTAGTATGTGGGGAAAGAGACTGTTCTCTAATGTTCTGATTCTCAGTTTTTGAACTGCATAATGGACCTGTGTCTTAGGGGTGTGGCCCTCACAAGTGTTTCTGCTTCTCCAGGAATAGAGCTTTTCTCTCCCATCGCTTCCCCGCCTCTGTCATCCTCTGTGGTCTTGAGGCCATTCTCTCTGCAGATTAAGACTAGGTCTGGGAAGAGTAGGGCCCTCCCCCAGTGGTAGTGGTACTCCACTAGTGCCCTAAGGATACAGGCCTCAGATAACTTTTCCCCTGCAGGTTAAACCTTTCCTCCCTTAAAGGAGGTGAGAAAGTCCAGCACCAGAAAGAGCACCATTGTCTCTGTGAGAGCCTGGTGATGTCCTTGGTGGAAACACCTGCAAAGGGTGGAAACATCCCGATGGCTTCATCTGTTTGTCACATTTCTAATTTTCTCTTTCCAGGCTGAAGGCTACTGCCTCAGGTAAGCAAACGCTTGGGTCCTGCATCTCCCTGAAGGCACCTGTTCCCTCTCCAGATTTGGGGATGGCTGGTGGTTCTTTGACCTCTGTTCTTTCATGGGTTCACATAAAGTTGCTGTCTGTCCAGCTTGTTTCCCATAAGGATGGGAGCTACGTCTCTCCACCTCTCTACATCTCTGCACTGGAGCTGCAAGTCTTTTATTACTCCAAGTGGTCTGCTGTCCTCTAACACAAGTGGATAGAGCTAGCTGTTCAAACAGTGAATTGAGTGAGAAATTAGTTTTCCATTCCTGATAATTGTCACCTGTATTATCTCCTTTTTTTTTTAAATTTACTTTTGGCCACATTGGGTCTTTGTTGCTGTGCGCAGGCTTTCTCTAGTTGTGGAGAGAGGGGGCTACTCTTTGTTGCGGTGCACAGGCTTCTCATTGCACTGGCTTCTCTTGTTGCGGAGTACGGGCTCTAGGCACACGGGCTTCAGTAGTTGTGGCACGTGGGCTCAGTAGCTATGGCTTGTGGACTCTAGAGCACAGTCTCAGTAGTTTTGGTGCACGAGTTTAGTTGCTCCGCAGCCTGTGGGGTCTTCCCGGACCAGGGCTCGAACCCATGTCCCCTGCATTGGCAGGTGGATTCTTAACCACTGCGCCACCAGGGAAGTCCCTATTATCTACCTTTTTTAAAATCTAATTGTCATTTTTGTCATCTCTCTTCTGTCATATACACTACTGATCCCTCTTTATACATGGGTCTGTTTGGGGACTCTGTTCTGTCTCAGTGATCTATTTGTCCCCATTCTCAAACCACACTGTTTTAGTACTTCATTTTGTAATGTGTTTTGATGTCCAGTAGTGTGCCGCCTCTTCCATTGTTCTTCATTTAAAAATCGTCTTGGCAGGCTTCTCTGTTGGCACAGTGGTTAAGAATCCACCTGCCAATGCAGGGGACACAGGTTCAAGCCCTGGTCTGGGAAGATCCCACATGCCGCAGAGCAGCTAAGCCCGTGTGCCACAACTACTGAGCCTGTGCTCTAGAGCCCGCGAGCCACAACTACTGAGCCTGCATGCTGCAACTACTGAAGCCCACGCGCCTAGAGCCCTTACTCTGCAACAAGAGAAGCCACCACAATGAGAAGCCTGCGCACCGCAACGAAGAGTAGCCCCCGCTCACTGCAACTAGAGAAAGCCCATGCACAGCAATGAAGACCCAACACAGCCAAAAAAAATAAATCAATAAAATAAATAAATTAAAAACAAACAAAAAAACAAAACCCCACAATGTGATATCACCTCACAGCCATTAGGATGGCCACTATCAAAAAAAAAAAAAATCATCTTGGCTATTCCTCAAGATTTTCACTTCCAGATGAATAAAATTTACCTTGTCAAGTTTCTAGAAATCTGTGGAGATTCAGTTGAGTTTGCATTGGATTTATAAGAGGTAGAACTGACATCTTTTCAACATTGAACCTTCCCATCCAATAACTTTGTATATCTCTCAATTTATTAAAGTCCTTATTTACATTAAAGAAAAGTTTGATATTTTTTTCCATAATGCTCTTATACGTGTGTTGAAACAATGAACCAAAATGTACCGGGAACACACTTGTAGTTAAAAAAAAAAAAAAAAAGTTAGGTTTTATTAGCTTGCTGTATCAAGGGAAAACATACCCAGAAGAACTGTGGGAGCATCTCAATAAAGGAAGCTGGAAGGACTTCTCATAGGGTTAAGGGAGCAGAGGCTGGTTTTGGATTATCATCCCTCTAGAGTTACATGCTTCTAAAATGCTCAGTTTGGAATATGTGATAGACTGTATACACAGTTAAAAATGATTGGTTAATATATATAAAACAGGTAACCAACAAGGACCTGCTGTATAGCACAGGGAACTCTGCTCAATACTCTGTAATAACCTACATGGGAAAAGAATTTGAAAAAGAATAGGTACATGTATATGTATAACTGAATCACTCTGCTGTATACCTGAAACTAACAACATTGTTAATCAAATATACTCCAATATAAAATAAAATTTTTTTAAAGGAAAAAAATGATTTGTTAAAATGAAATCTTGTCTGTTGTAGCAGTATTGAACATTACATGCTTTAATGTGCAAATGGTTCATTACTGTTTTACACAGTTACAAAGTGATCATTGATTTCTGTGCAGCAGTGTACACGTAGAAGTAGGATCTCCTTTTGATGCTGTGTTTTTCTCCATGTATCAACGTGGATGTGGTGTAAAAATTATTTTGTGTTTTTCTCCTCTCTAGCAAAATCCTTTATATGACACAGAACGATGCAAGGTATTCCAGTGTGATCTGACTAAAGATGACCTTCTGGAACACGTGCCCCCGGAGTCTGTGGATGTTGTCATGTTGATATTTGTGCTCTCTACGGTTCACCCTGATAAAATGCACCTTGTCTTACAAAACATTTACAAGGTTAGTAATTGGGAGCCTGCACTTGAGGGTTAGATGTCCTGATCTTTTCACTTACCTTCCCTCTGAGACTCACGTGCTGTCTCGATTGACAGAGTCTCCCCGTTCTCACGAGGTGGGCTGCGTAGTCAGTGTAGGGAAGAAAGTTCTCCTGCATAAAACATCCACCCTAAATTCTCATTTGCCTGGTGGCCATCGCTGCCCTTCAGAGCTTGGCCAGCCTTGGAGCAGGGATGATTTTGCAGCTGCCTAGGATATGTGGAGTCTTGCTGTAAAGTGAGAGGAAGCATAGTTCAGTGCACAAGAGCACACAGTCTGGAGTCAGGGTGCCTAGAATCAAATCTGGCTCCCCTAATGTAGGCAACTTCCTTTACCTTTCGGAGCCTTCATTTCATTACCTGTGGAATGTTGAGATAATAGTTCCTAGATCTTAGGATTTGGGGGAGATTATATGAGATGTGTTTTAAGTGCTTAGTGCAGTGCCTAGAAATGGTGAGTGCTCTTTAAATGTCAGCTGTGGTCGTCATTGTTGTCACTCCCATCGTTGTTAGACTGGGGAGAACCCAAGCTGCTGTGGCCACCAGGAGGCTGCTGCAGCACTCGGAGTAAAGCATCACTCCTAAGTCAGGTGACTCAAAACAGGCCACCTTTTCATTCTTCTCTGGGCCTCAGTTTTCTTGTCTGTAAAATGGGGGTGTCTTTCACTCATGGGGTTATTGTGGGATGCAGGTAAGATCAGGTTCAAGGTGCTTTGTAAACTACAATAGAGGCTCTCTTAGCTGTACAAACAGTGGGTAACCATGTTGATTAACTTAAAATCAACTAAGTCGAGAAATGATTTTTACAAATGGTACCTTCTTACTGTAAATATTTTATTATAAGTTAAAATATGTTAATACTCACTTATCATTCTTTTCATGTAGAGCCAAGGCCTTTTCTTTGAGTATGGGGCCATTTATCTTACATAAATCACACATGTAATAGAGTTTTGGTTTCTTTATAGCAAGAACTTAAAAACAATTGAAAAGTAATATGAGAGCAGATTCTTTTATATTTTTACCCAGACTTTCATTGTTGATTCTCCCACGCTTAATTAAGCAGAGTTTGTTCAGTGCTTGTTTAACAAGTCTTTCCAAAGTAGTCAACATACTTTTCATAGGAAATAAAACTGCCTTCTGTTCACGTTCGTATTGCATTGTTTATATACTCGTATATAATGACAAATCTCAGAACAACAGCACAAGCAAGCTTGGGAATGAACACCAGTGACTGATGGGAGCACCAGCTCCCCGGGAGGCCCTGGAGTGTAATGGCGCACGATCTAGAGAGCCTGGGAGCCTCACCTGCTCAGGGGGTCGTGGCTACAGTCAGTTTACAGAGAGAATGGAAAGTGTCCAGCAAGCTGAGGAAGTGGACATTAGCTGAGAGCCTCTGTATATGTAGAGCTGTACATTAAAATTTAACCCTGGTTCGTGATGTTTTAAAAGAGTAGCGAGGTAGAAATTTCAAGACGCTGGAAACCTGTTAGGGAATAACTATTCTACTGAAAACAATTTTTTAAAAAATTCAGATGGTTTTAGCCCTCTGCTTGTGAGGTTTTGTAAGGTTTTTTTTCCTCCTTACCTCTCCTTTCCCTGCCCTGGCATATGAACAGATGAGAACCCAGCGTATATCCACAGATAGGCATGGGACTTAAGCCAGGTAAAGAGGGAAGAGGGGACCGATGGGAGGATCCCTGATTTGATGACTCAGGTGAAGGTGAAGGTTTATGAAAGATGGGGAGTTAGAGAAAGAGCTGGAAAAATGGTGGAGGGGGTGGTCGGAGAGTTACTTGTGTGACATTGAGAGTATGAAGAGGTTATACTTTACAGTGTTGACAAGACCTTAGGACATTACTGTGGGAGCGAGTGATTAAGGTAGGGTGGAGGACGAGATCTTTGGAAGAGAGAAGCTCAAATCATTGAGGCCAGCATATTTGGAAGCATAATCCACATGCATGTTGAAATTGATGGGAATTAAGAATGGAGTAGTATGGGGATAAAAGCATAAACCAGGAGACGCATTCATCATGAAATGGAGGGAAATGACCCTGGAACTAATAGATGACTAACAATAAGGGATAGTGGGTGATATGATCTGATGACAGGAGATTCAGACATGAGGCTTGGGGAGGAGAAAGAGGAATGCACAGAAAGTAGCAGTGGGGCAAGGAGAACCCCAGACCCTTTCCCACGCCCAGTGATACAAGGACCATGGGAGAAAACACAGCCTGACTTGAGAGGTTGCAGGGAAAACTGCGTCCTCAGGGGACAGTCAGGTTTTTGTTAGCACAAGAATGAAGGGGACGTTCAGGATACCGTGATTTGATGGAGGGTTTTGGGGATTAGGAAGGAGTAGGAGGTAATAGGGGCAGAGTAAGGAGTGTCTGGAACTTTGCTGGGGACGAGAGTGCCCACTGTCAATATTCTATCCATCATTATACTGGAGGTCCTAGTCAGCTGGAAAAGACCAGAAAAAGGAATAAAGGGTTTTAGAATGAGAAAGAAACAGAACTCATTATTTGCAGATAATATGATTGTCTAATGAGAAAATATTAACAGAATTACATAAGTGTAAGATGAATGTACTCAGTGCCACAGAACTGTACACTTAAAAGAGAATAACATGCATTGTGCAATCTTACTTTTCCACTTCATGTTACGTGTTTTGTTTTACTTCTTTGTTTGATTTTGAGTTTTTTGGTAGACTTTTTTTTTTTTGAGGAAATTGACAGCTGATTTTAAATTTACATGAAGGAACAAAGAGTCAAAACACTCTTGAAGAAGAAGGCAATGGGGAGATTTGTACCATACCAGATATAAAGTCTTGTTACAACTACAATTATTAAGACACAGTGGTATTGGCAGAGGGACAGACAAATTGACAAATGGAATGTGATAGCTTAAAAGCAGATCCATGTATATATGGACATTTGATAGTTGATAGAGGTGACATTGAAGATCCCTGGGAAAAGGACTGCTCAGCAAATGATTCTGGGACTGTTGGTAGGCCACGTGAGAGAAAACCAAAATTGTATTCCTACTTCACATCCTATACAAGAGTCATTCCAGGTGGATTTAAAGACAAATGGAAAAGACAAAAGTTTAAGCCTTTCAGAAGAAAATATAGGAGAAAATCTTTGACTTCAGAGTAGGGAAAATTTTCTCAAAGATTCAGAAACATTCTATGCATAAAGGTGATGGTAAAAAAATTAAGAGTTTCTGTTCTTCAAAAGACAGTATAATACAAAGAAATTGAAAAGACAAGGTGGGAAAAGTAACTTAAAATCTACTCAACTGAGGGACTTCCTTGGCGGTCTAGTGGTTAAGATTCCGAGCTTCCGCTGTAGGGGGCATGGCTTCGATCCCTGGTCGGCCTAGTATCCAGAATGTATAAGGAATTCCTGAGTAACAGTAAGAATGACAATAGAAAAATGAGCAAACAGTTATGTTACAGAAGAGAACACACAAATAGTTAACATATGAAAAGATAACCTCAATAACCCAGGAAATGGAAAATAAAACCATAATGAGACACAATTAGATTAATAAAGTTAAGTCTGACAGAGCCGGGTATTAATGAGGATATGCCTATTCTTGATTTAAATGGAAACATACAGCATGTTATCTATATTTAGTATATAATGAAGTGTTACATTAAAAGAAAAGTTAACTTGAGCTGTCCCAGTCCATACCTGGCCCCTTTCTTATAGTAACAAATTCCATTTCAGCAGTCTTCCTGTTTTTACCCCCCAATAGAAATCCTTTTTCAGCTGACCTGGAATGAGTTCACGGCAGCAGTGTGATGCTGTCATGCATAGTCAGTCACTGGTTCATTAATTTGAGACCATGTGCTTCATCAGGAAATTACTGGAAGAAGCGAGCTCTCAGCCTCTGACAATCAGGCACCCTTTGGGCAGCTCTGCAGTCTTGCTTGATCAGCTACAGTAATAAGCTGTTGTACGGTAGAGATAATTACTCTAGGATGTTAACACCTGAGAAATTTTAAAACCACATAATTTTACACTGAAAGGCAGCCTTAAAGTTGAATTCCCTCAGTTTTGGAATAGAACGGTAAAATAAAAATAGACCAAATTTGTCATCAGAAGACGAGATTTTGATTTTCCTGTGCCACTGACTTGCCTTGAAAGCCCAGGCGAGTCACTTGTACTCTGAGCCTCACTCAACGTGGAGTGGGTCTGGTCGACCTCACCTGCTTTCTTCCTGGAGCTGTGGGGAGGGTGAGGAAAGCCGGTGGCTGTACAGCCCCGCCATCAAAGGAGGTGTTATACCATAATTACTGTCTTACGGACGAGAAAATACATTCAGAGGGATGAAATGTTGTCCATGGTCATTCAACCAGTTAACAGAAGAGCTGGGATATGGACCAGGATATCCCAAATTCCTAAGCAAGGGTCCCATGCAGGCTTTCCTTCCCTCTGAAATTAAGAATGATTTCTTTCTCACATAGACTAAAATTTTCAGACTTTTTCCTTCTCAATTATTCACATTTTAAAATTTAGCATTTCTGACCAAGGTATGAATGTTTTTATCGAAGAGGCACTTTACTGACAATATTTTAAATGCATGCTAGCGTTGATAAGAATTCGCTAAATGACGGAATTCCCTGGCAGTCCAGTGGTTAGGACTCCGTGCTTTCAGTTCCGAGGGCGCGGGTTCGCTCCCTGGATGGGGAACTAAGATCCCACAAGCCATGGGGCGTGGCCAAAAACAAAAGAATTTGCTAAATGAGAAAATCTGCAGCACACTTGGAAGTATTATGGGCAATCTTTCCTATTCTATTCAGGAAGAGGAAACATCAAATTACATCAAAAATCTATAAAAGGTGCTACATGTCATGTCTTAAAAATCATCTTGTTGATGTGATGGGGCAGAATATATTTAATAAAATCAATGCCCCCTTTTGAAGTCCACTCTTATTTGGTAAAGTTACACAGTTTGAAAGAATCCCCGCATAAAAAGCAAGTGTCACAGCGAGTACCACTTTCTTTTCATTCTGAAAAGCATATGGCTATTTGCTGTGTAAGAGAGGGGCAGTTATACCACTCCCGGCGGATTTTACCTTCCAATTTTTGAGACATCTGCTCTGTGACAGCTATTTCTGAAAGGCTGTAGTGAGGGACTCCCACCGGAGCCTGACACTGGTCCCTTCTCTACACACTGCACTAGCGTGAGGATGCTTCGCTTCAAATCAAGAAGTGCAGCAGTGTGGGAAGAATACTCAAGTTACCCCTGCCCTCACAGCCTCTCTTGTCTTGTCAGTAGTGAGGACAGAATTGGAATGACACCCCCCGCCCCTACTCTGCCCAGGGCTAACAAACATCCCTGATCCTGCAGTGTGATGCCTTTAACCCCAGCTTGAGTCCTGCCCCCCCTCCTTAGTAGCTTTTGTATGATCATGGGCAAATCACTTCCCTCTTCTGCTACCAGTTTCCTTGTCTCACAGAGGATAATCACACTCCTTCCTTCCTTCCTCCCAGAATTGTGTGAAGACCCAATGAGAAAATGTCTGGTAAGCTACAGAGGGCCGTCCACTGTTAGCGTTGTGGGCAAGCCATACAGAATTGTAGCTTGGGAGACCAGAGCTGAGACTCAGGATGAGGAAGCCCAAAAAATCAGTAAAAAGTGAAAATGACATAGTATTTTTTTAAAGAAACAATCTGACTGCAGGGTCATGGATTAGGAGATGGCTAATAAAATGGTGGGAGAACGTGCTTTAGTGTGGGTATGATTGTTTCTTCTAATGTCTTTAACACTTTAATTGTGTGACACTGGACCTTCCACAGAGCTCTCATTAGTGCTCAGGAAGTACCCCTCCAGTGCACAGGACACTGCCAAGTCTTAGCACACCTTTGCTTATCAGGCCCTTTTTCTTCATAGTATGGGTATTGCAGTCTGGCCCCTTTGATAACTGTCACAAATGCAAGTTATTTTAATCCCTAAATTAATCAGGTTTTATTTTATAGTAAGCTCTGTTTGACTGGGTCCCTGAATTACGTGCAGCCTGTTTTGTTTCGTAGGTATTAAAACCAGGCAAAAGTGTCTTGTTTCGCGACTATGGGCTGTATGATCATGCCATGCTTAGGTTTAAAGCCGGCAGCAAACTTGCAGAAAACTTTTATGTTAGACAAGATGGAACCAGATCGTATTTTTTCACTGATGGTAAGATTGCTGGAATCTGTCTTGACTGCTGTTTCCTTGATTGCATTGTCACTATGGTACCAGTTGGAGTGGGGGTGACTGTACCCCCCTTACAAGCACAAGGTCCCAGAACAAGCCCGCTCACGTGCACCACTTACCAGCCCTGGCTGTGAGCTCACGGGCCGCCTCTGGTGACCGTGTCCAGTTAGTGAGCCGGATCAGTGGACAGGCTCTGATGCACCGCCATGTGGATGACGCCAGGAGCTGCGCTGGAAAGAGGGGAGAGCAAACCAGAATCTTCACTTCGTTCACTCAGGCATAAAGCAAATAGGACAGGGTAGTGCCTTGAGATTACTTGAGTCTCACAAAGGTAAGAAATCTTTTTCTATAAAAGTGATTGAGGGACTTCCCTGGCGGTCCAGTGGTTAAGACTTTATCTTTCAATGCAGAGGGTGCAGGTTCGATCCCTGGTTGGGGAGCTAAGACCCCACATGCCTCGAGGCCAAAACATCAAAACAAAAAACAAGCAATATTGTACAAATTCAATAAAGATTTCAAAAATGGTCCACATCAAGAAAAATCTTTAAGGAAAAAAGTGATTGAAACTTTTTACACAAATTTGCTATAGAGGGGTCTTTAAAAGGTCATTTTTGATAAGAAAACCATCCAAACACCGAACATGATTTTAAAACCATCCAAACACCGAACATGATTTTAGTCTTTTAGGTAGTTTTTTTTTTTGGTACGCGGGCCTCTCACTGTTGTGGCTTCTCCCATTGCGGAGCACAGGCTTCGGATGCGCAGACTCAGCGACCATGGCTCACGGGCCCAGCCGCTCTGCGGCATGTGGGATCTTCCCGGACCAGGGCACGAACCCGTGTCCCCTGCATCGGCAGGTGGACTCTAAACCACTGCGCCACCAGGGAAGCCCTCTTTTAGGTATTTTGAACGTTAGTTTTAAGCCTGTTAAATACAGGTATACCTCGTTTTATTGTGCTTCGTGGATATTGCATTTTTCGTAAATGGGATGTTTCTGACAACCCTGTGTCGAACAAGTCTATTGTCACCATTTTTCCCACAGCATTTGCTCACTTCATGCCTCTATGTCAGATTTTGGTAATTCTCGCAATATTTTGAACTATTATAAATTATTATATTTCCTATGGTGATCTGTGATCAGTGATCTTTGACGTTACTACTAAGACTCACTATAGGCTCACATGATGGTTAGCAATTTTTAGCAATACAGTATTTTTTAATTAAGGTATACACATTGTTTTTTTAGACACAGTGTTACTGCACACTTAATATACTACAGTATACTGTAAACATAACTTCACATGCACTGAGAAACCAGAAAAGTCGTGTGGCTCGCTTTATTGCAGTATTTGCCTTCATTGTGGTGGTCTGGAACCGAACCCACAATATCTCTGAGGTATGCCTGTAATCTGAACCATAAGATAATTACCTTCTTAAGCTCTAATTTTTACAACATTTGTATTTCTTGAAATGAAATATTCTCTTAAAGCTAAAAATGAGTGATTACCATTAAAACTACAAAACCATTAAAAATGTACGGTGAAAATTAAAAATTTGTTTTAATGTTTTGGATTCATGAAATCTGATTAAACCAATTATAAATGAGAAGATGCAATAATATCTGCAAAGTGCTTCAGAGCACATTCTTTGGAGTAATGCCCTCGATAAGAGTCTTTGTTTTTGCTACGTAGCCATTCTGTTTGTTTCACTTAATGTGTAGTGATTATTACTTGGATTAACTTTTCCTTAGGGTATGTCACTATCAGATGATTTTTTTTCTCCCCACTTTGGTCACTGATTTTCCTCCTTCATGTTAGCATAGATGAGGTGCTTGATGTAAACAAATTGAGCACACACGCACTTTGCATGAGTACAGCCAGTCTGGAATTGTGTTTCTTTTTACTCAGACTCTTGTCCTTGGGGAATCACAGTAGGGCAAGGAGGATGTACTCCAGGTTGTTCTTAAACTTTTTTGCTTATTGTTTATTTGGGAGTTTTTGTTTGACAGGGAGAAGTAGGAGTTTGTTAACTTTCCAGAACAAAACCTTTACCTTTTAGTGTTGAGGTTCTCCTTCCATTAAGGATGCCCTGTCTCAGCCTCCCGCCCCCCTCACCACTGCTCAGCAGTGCAGTGGAGTCCAGACTGCGAGCGCTGTCGATCTGCTTGTCTTCTAGAATTCCTGGCACGGCTCTTTATGGACACAGGTTACGAAGAAGAGGTGAACGAATATGTGTTTCGTGAGACGGTGAATAAAAAAGAAGGCCTGTGTGTACCGAGGGTTTTCCTTCAGAGCAAGTTCCGAAAGTCTCTGAAGAACCCAACTCCTGGGACCCCGCGCCTGGGCCACGAGTCCTGACCTTTGACGAAGTTGATGTCTGTGCCTCCCCTTGAAGAGGAAAGTTTAAAGTCACTCTTTATTTTGTGTACTTTTATATTTTAACTTTTTAAAATGAATATATATACTTTTTATATTAAAAGGTAGCAAGTGTGTGTGTGTTACAGAATTGTAAATAAAATTGCAAGACCTGAAGAGGAAAGTTTTATGGTATAAAGTGATTTAGCCATGTTGTCTTAAGATTCCACAGAGGAAAGCACGAGGGCCCTGTAGCACTTAAAGAGACCCATGTCATTCATTACTCCTGAAGTCTGTAAATGTGTCTCTAGGCAGCAGGTCAGACAACCCTGTGGAAAAATGAGGCCAAATAGACTAAAATAACCCAGCCCTGTGTATTTTTAGCTTGAAGGATTGTTCTCTTCTCTTCTTTCTCCAGTGTCTCATGTTTGCCCATTTCCCTCTGCTTTGGTTCATTTTATGCGCCTCCTTAGGACCGGTGTCCACAAATGCCACTTTTCCATTGGAGGTCTCAGGAACACCCCATGGCTCCCTGCTTCGTTCTTGAGACCGTCTGTAATTGGGCCAGTCCCTCGCCACAGTGCCCTGAGGGAGACGGGAAGGCCATCCCCTGTCCCAGCTCCCCACTGGGAAATGAGGCAGCAGCAGCTAAGAGGCAATGACTGCCATGGCTAGTTGCTGAGGTGGCATATGGGAAAATCCTCAGATTGGTCTGCTGACCTGTTTCCCAAGCATTCCTGTGTAATGACTTTCACTTTATAAAATGAAATCAGAGTTCTTTTGGCCTGCTAACAAAGCTGATCCTGTAGGCCATGATGTTTCCTGTTCATGAGAATGGTTGTCTTGAGTGTACTGCCTGGACCACACACACAGCCAGCTAGGGCCCTTCAACGCCAAACACATTTGAAGGGGAGGGGTCCCTGTGGGGAGGGGCTGGCCAGTAGTCATAGCCGTTCTATACAATTAGAGTCAGCCCTGCCGCTCCCGGAGAGAAGAGGGACAGGCGGCATGCTTGCTGGGTGTCCTCACTCTGCCATCTGTCCCTGACTGCTTGGGAGGGCGTTAAGGGGCAGGGGAAGCAAGAGGAGCCCCTGTCTGTTGCTGGTCTGTTGCTTTATGTGTTCTTTCCCCTTCTTTTGAAGGCTGGAGGATGGCTATCCTGGGTAAGAGCAGAACTGATGAGGACTAGTACAGAGTTGTCCTTTGAAATCAGCTTGTAAAGAAGATGAACCTGGTGGGGGACAGGGACTCACGGGCTTCCTCATGGAGCGAGGGGCAAGCCCAGCCCCAGAGCAATTTGTTGGGGGAGAGCCTCGACCAGCCCCAGGCTCCCCACCTCCAGTCCAGAGCTCTTTCCTCCAAGTGGCTCCAGCAAGTGCATCCCACACCCAGCTTCAGCCCCAGAATGCTGCTAAATGCCCCCTCCTCAGAAGTCCTTTCACCTGTTTCCTCCACTAGGTCAATGTCACTTGGGTTTTAGTGGCTGAGCTGGATAAAAACAGGATATTTAAAGTAGAAAGTGGGGAGCAGTGTGGTGTAGTGTAAGCGTGGGCTTTTGTTGTCAGAAGTCAGTTGTGGCCTCACCACTCACTCTGTTTGAACCTCAGATTCCTTACTTGTAAGACATGGATAATTGTCCTGAGACCTACCAGGGGTGGCTGATCTGGCCGACCACGTGCCCTGGACACGGGAGCGACTCTAAGCAAGCCGCGCAGGCTGACGAGGACCTGGCCGTAAGAAAAGGCCCCTCTGCCTTTGCCAGGAGTTGCCTGAGGGGATGCCTGTAAATGAGGCCCACGGTTTCCTCCAAGCACAACTTGGAGCTGTCTCTGTCCTCAGGAGCCATGATGGCCCCAAATTCCTGCCCCATAAAGGAAAGGCTGCAGATTTTTCACCTGGAATATTTAAAGCTGGCCTAATGACACGCACACCTCTGACACCCAGCCAGGTAACCTCTCAGTAACCCCACTTTAAACTGTGGTTGTAAAACATACTTCTAGTTAAATGAATGCAGTGACATGTCTATCATGGTTTGGGCCAGTGGATTGGGGTAAGAAATAATAAAAACATGGCTTCAGTTCTCTTGCCTCGGTGCCCCCGTGTTCATTCTCCCTGGGACACTTCCATTACTGCACCCCAGATTAAGACAGGGGAGCAGAATCTTCTGCTGGTTGGGTGCCCAGGAGATCCAGGAAAGCAAGGCCACAGTGTGTTTAGTAGCAAAACTCTGTGACAGCATTTGCTAAATCATAGACTGTCAAGTGTCAACCAGTATTGCCTTGTCTTCACAGGCAGAAAATAGCCCCAGAAGGGTAGTGAGTACTGGTTTACAGTGCTATAGAAAATAGCATAAGTACTATAGTGCTCTTTAGTAAGGTATATGTACCATATATAGTATAGAATATATATATTATACTATGCAGTGTATACCGTATACGATACTATATGGTACTATTAACTTCATTCGAGTTTTTGATATATACTACATACAACAATAACGCTATTTGGAATATAAACATCTGGGTTCAAGTCCAGGACTTGGCCCATACAAGTAGTCAACTGCTCCAAGCCTCAGTCTTCCCATTTCTAAGACTGAGATCCTGTTACCTGTAGCACAGGACTGCTACCAGATTAAATGAGTGCTTCATTTACTATAGAGTTACAGTCAAGTGCTTGTTATTTCTATTAGTTTGTATTCCCCAAGAAAATGACTTAATCCATACTCCTCTTCACGAAACGGTCATATTTAATCTGACAGGGCCCTTTGAAAGGGCCCAGGATTTGGATGAGCCACCACAAGGTGGCGCTAGGTGCCAGATATTCCCACTAGCCTCAGCTGGGCCCCAATCTTAATTGCAGTTAAAGCGTGTCCATTTTTATCGTCTTTGAAGAGGAAGGGAAATGCTTGCAAATGTGTTTTCTAGGTCAACTTTAGCTCATAAGATCAATTTTGGCCTCACAGTGGGGATAAGAAAGCAAGGGTGCTTTTCTCCAGCACTCATTCTACTTTGCCTGCTGAAGGCAACATTTTTAGGCAATGGGCTCTGAAAGTGTCTGCAAGGCCTCACCCCTCCTCATCCTCAGGTGGTTCTGTGGACTTGCTTTTACGTTGCCGGGGTTTCAAGCAAGAGAAGGAACTGCAGCGTGGACACTTGTTTGCCTCACACATTATTCAGTTATCTTTGACAGCCTTCGGTTCTCTATTTCACAGCTGTCAATCAAGGGAGGGAAAATTGTGAAGTAAATCGTGTCTACCAAGAGAGTGTTTTCCAGGACCAGGTTTGCTGTTGGGGAGCAAATATTTAACAGAAACTTAAATAGGCTCCATTAATGAAACCAAAAATAAAATTAGCTGCATTTTCACTTTTCCTTTCTGCCCTTCTCAGATGTGTGGCATTCATTAGATAGTATTCAGTAGGTACCGGCTGGGCACAGGGTCCCGTGGAGTCACTGTGGCTGGAGTACAGGATTGGGAAGGGAGGCAGTGCGGGCACATACTGAGAGGTAGCCCTGGCCGAGTCTTCACTCAGCCAAAGCAAGACAGCTAGGAAACCAAATACCAACACAACCACCAGAGGAAAGAGAAACAGGAAGAAAGGCTATGGGAAACCTGAGCGTGACAACCGTCATCATTTAGAAAGAGTATTTCCACATTTTCACAGTAGAGGCATCATACGCTGTGGTCTGGGGCATGGCCGTGAAGATGAGAACGTGACACACAGCTCCTTTAGAGTACCTTACCAAGCACATCTAGAAAAACATCAAGACTAGCAAAATGAGACAATTCTATCTATCTAGATATCTATCTCTCTATCTATCTATTCTATCTCTCTCTCTCTCTCTCTATCTATCAGAGGAATTATAACTGCTAAAAATATGGTCAACTCTAGTTAGAAATAATCACAAATTAAACTGAGACTCTCCTTTTTCCTACCAAATGGATAAAGCTTAAAAAACAATACTCCATGCTGGTAAAGAAATAGATGTTCAGATTTGTTCAACTACAGCTGATACTTTTTCTTCTTTATACTTTTCTGAAATTTCCATGATTTCTGTAATGAGCATATATTGCTTTTACATTAAGAAAAAAAGTAATCTAGCATCCTCAGAACTCCTTTGAAAACCTCATAAGTTAAATGAACTAAAATCCTTGTGACAAATCTGCTAGAAATACCTTTTTAACCTTTAAGATTCTTACCCACCAGGAACTAGAAGACACCTCCCAGGAATAAGAGAATGGGTATCTTAGGATATTCTTTTTGTTCCCAGTGCTCTGGACTCATGGGGAGGTGCCTTGGATGGGGGATTTTCATCTGTTGGGCTGGGCCCTCCATGGCTGCTTTGAATTTGGAAATGCATATCCTTCAGTTCCTTGGGGAATTTTACTCGAAATTTTTATTTAGTTATTCCTCACCACTACCAACACACACATACAAACACCCCACATGTATTTTCTCTCTTTCTGGAACTCTTATTAAAATGTTTCACTTCCTGAACTCATGCCATAATTTTACAATCTGTTCTCTCCTCTGCCATCTCTCTTTCTTAACATTTTGCTTTCTGGGAGATGTAGCTCACAGTCCTTTCATTGAGTTTTTAAATTTCTGCTTTCACAATTTTAATTTCCAAGAACCTTTTTTATTCTTTCAGTGTCCATTTTATTTTATAAATTTATTTATGTATTTATGTATGTATGTATTTATTTATTTTGGGTACATTGGGTCTTCTTTGCTGCACGCGGGCTTTCTTTAGTTGTGTCGAGCGGGGGCTGCTCTTCATTGCGGTGTGCGGGCTTCTCATTGTGGTGGCTTCTCTTGTTGCAGAGCAACGGCTCTAGGCATGCAGGCTTCAGTAGTTGTGGCACACAATCTCACTAGTTGTGGCTCACGGGCCCTAGAGCGCAGGCTCCATAGTTGTGGTGTACGGACTTAGTTGCTCCGCGGCATGTGGGATCTTCCCAGACCAGGGCTTGAACCCGTGTCCCCTGCATTGGCAGGCAGGTTCTTAAACACTGTGCCACCAAGGAAGCCCTCAATGTCCTTTTTTTTTTAAACAATGTTTTTATAATTTATTTTATTTACTTATTTATTTATTTTTGGCTGCATTGGGTCTTCATTGCTGCACATGGGCTTTCTCTAGTTGCGGCGAGCAGGGGTTACTCTTCGTTGCAGTGTGCGGGCTCCT